AAAAGGCAACAAGAGGCCTGAGGCAGTCTTCCTGCCTCAGCTGGTCCCACTCACTGCTGCTTGTCCCTGGCTGCATGGTACAGGCTTGGGGGATTAATGATGGTGAGTTTGTTGGGTTTTTTTAATACCCTAGTGAAGTTACACTAAAAAGAAAACAACAAAACCTATTACTTTGATGGGATTCTGAGGAGGAGCAATGGTAAATGGTCTCATGTAGCTGAACAAAAGGCTGAACAATGAAGCCTTTATTCTGAGAACCCACATGTCCAGCTGAAAACTGTGAGTTCCATTATCTAAGATGGAAATAGCTGAGTGGAAGGTGGCAATTACTGCCCCACAATTCAGCTGGTTCTGAGACAGAGAAACTGAGGCTGCTGTGATAAAAGCCTTCCTCTCAGTGGGAGTGGCATGGTTCAGGTATAAGGAATGAGTACAGAAACAAGTACAGAGACCATACTAGGGAGTCACTGAGGTGAATAAATGTCTTTATTTAGTTAACTCACTGCAGGGTTCATCCCAACTCTTTGCTTACACTCACACTGTCAAAACAAGTTACATATAACAACAGGGGGCCATAACAATGGTCTTGCCCAGTCTCCACCACCTTCCCACCCATGGAGCATTGTAGGGACAATGTCACCTCACTTCAGTTGTGGGTTTGAAATACCTTTAGGGGGACAACTCTTTCCAAACCAGAAACCATGAGCCACTTAGTAAAACTGGCTGTCAGGAGTTTAGTATGCAGTATCTTCGGTACTTGCCTGGAGCCCCAGAGTCCCTCAGAGCATTCAAAAACTCCCATTTTAGGGCCCTTCTCTCCCGTCATTTGATACTCCAGAGCCAGGCCCTTCTAGAAATGTGCACACCGAGATTTCACATGCTCAACATTCTTACCCACTGTGATAAACAGTCCATGAAATTAAGGCATTTTCAGGGAGTTAGAAGGGGAATAAAGCATTTATTAAAGTTATAATAATATATCAAAAATAACCATCATATTTTTGAAAGCTCTCAACTAGGCACAAGGGTGTAAACAGTCGTGGTCCCAGCCACTGCAGGCAAACCCATATTCATCACCAGGGCAGAAGAGGACAAAGGGCTGGTGGTGAGCACTGCCTTCAGCAAGGCTCCGGGCACACGGCCCGCTAATTGCCACACTTCAACACCAACACCCAACACCCAACACCAGTGCAGGAGCTGTGTGGACACGGCAAGGCAGAGCAGGGGCACTGCTAAATTAGAGCACACACAGTGATTCTGCAAACACACAAGAGCTGCGTTCCTAAAGGCCACACTCAAACTGGATCAATCACATTCATACATTACTCAGTATATCTAAGAATCTTTTTTTTTCTTTCTTTCTTTTTTTTTTTTTTTTTTTTTTT